AAAAAAAAAAAAAAAAAAAAAAAAAAAAAAAAAAAAAAAAAAAAAAGCCGGAAATGCTTCCCACCTACTGAATCTGGTTGATGGTAACCATTTTCGTTTGACATTTTGAGGTTAAACAGTACAGAAATCTACCTTAAAAATTATGAAAACTGATTCTACCTCACCTTAGCTCAATGTTATTTATATGCCCCTAGCAAAATAACTGGCCTAGAAGAGAATCTGTTAGGGAACTTGAGAATAAGAGCTACCTGTGCTGAAAATTACCAGATTCAATCCAACACAGGATGCCAGCTCACCTAACACCACAGAAAGTCATGAAATGAGTGGACCATGGAGCTGTGGAGGAACGGTTATTGCTCCTCTGTGACTCTGGGTAGGTTAACCTCTTGGTATCTCTTTCCTTACCTGTTGCTATGGTATAGATATAAAATCCGCCCCCTCTCCAGGTACACATGTGGAGAGGTGGGACTTTCATAAGGTGACAGGGTCATAATGGCTCTAATGTCATCAGTCGGTCAATCCACTGACCAGATCATAATTTGATGACATAATTGGGAGGTGATGGAAACATTGGTGGCGGGTCCAGTTGAGAAGAGTGACTCATAATGGTGTAACCTCGGGGACTGTATCTCTTCCCTGACCTCTTCTACTCTGGCTGTCTGACTCTTCCTTGCTCTCTCTGCTTCCTGGCTGCCATGAGATGAGCAGCTTCCTTCCACCACACCCTTCCACCATGATGTTTCTACCTGGAAGACATCTGACCATGGACTGCAACTTCTAAAGCCATGAGCCCAAATAAATCTTTTCTCCTTTTAGTTGTTTTAAGGCATTGGGTCACAGCAACAGAAGCTCACTAACACATCTGTAAACATGGTATAACCACAACAGCTACTTCACATGGCGTTATGAGGACTCACTGCAGTAACAGTTATGCACACCTTAACAGGAGTCTTTGAAATGTGTGTTTAGGTGATGTTGCTGTTGTGTGAGCATCGCAGACTGTACTCACACACAAAGATAGAGTCCCATGGGGCCACCACTGTCTACGTGGCTTACTGTTTGCCTAAACATTGTAATGTGGTACATGACTAAGTAACATGTTTAGAGAGGAGCACAGCACATGATAGGCTCACAGTACACATTAGCTGATGATGATATCACCACAGCAACCTTATGTCATGAGACAAAGAATAAATGGCTCTTTAGCTCACTCTGTGGGTCCCTTGGCAAATCTGGATTTCAGTATTCCTTCTCCCTGAGGATGAATAGGAACCAGAACTGACCCGAACTGCTATTCCTGTCCTGAGCTATTTCTGCTGCATGGCCTACCCTTTCATCAACACCAGGCCTTGGTGATCCCCCAGGAGCAGCTGTACCACCCCAGTAGAGAGTGTCTCCACACATACCTTGCCTCCGCCTGGCATTGAGTTTCCGAAAGCAGGTCCCTTCCACAAGACGATTCAGGCGTTGTTGTTTGATCAACTCCAAGATCTCTGGCTGGATCTTCTCCTTCAGTTCCCTGTTGGCAGACACATACATTTCGCTTTTCCTCCACAAAAGCACCAGCTATTTTAGTGGCATTCTTCCAGAATAAAATATACTGATACCTTTTACATGTTTTTATTTAAAGCCTAGACAGAACTTATATGTGTCTAAGATAATAAATCCTTGGCCTCAAATTATTTTTCCCTTGCAGCAAGTAAACTCCTAGAGTACATCTGTGATCTGACCAAACAGAAATATTAGGAAACTATGTGATTACTATTTGTAGTAACGCTTTAAAAGTGAAGTGTCTCCCAGAGACTCCTGTATTGAGGGCTTGATGCACTATTCAGAGGTGGTACTTAGAAATGTGATTGGATCATAAGAGCACTATAAATTCATCAACGATTAATCCACTAAAGAGTGCATATCTCAATGGGGCCTAATGGATGAGGTAGGCCACTAGGACTGCGGCTTTGAAGGGTACATCGTATTCCTGGCCTCTTCCATTGATCTCCGCTTCCTGGCTGCCATGAGGTGAGCAGCTTCTTTCCTCCACCATACCTTTCCACCATCATGTTCCTGCTTGGAGCCAGTGGACCATGGACTGAAACCTCTAAGACCATGAGCCAAAATAAACTTTTCCACCTTGAAGTTGATTTAAGTCAGGTATTTTGGCACAACAACGACGAGCTAACATACTATTCCATAGTACACTTTCTTAGGACTGCTTTTTGTTTTCTATTCTTTTCTTTCACAAAGGAGACCCACGATGCTAGCCCAGATTCCTGCCCACAGAGACTGAGACAATGATGAGATAAATTAACAATTATGTGCATTTTGTCTCAGGCTAATATGATGTAACTAATTTCAGATGCACTATGTTGCAATGATATCATGATGAAGCTTAAGGGCCTTCAATTTTTTTTTTTTTAATTTGGAAGGAGTTTTAAAGAAGAAAACTGTATGTGAAACTCTGGCATTTGAGTTTACTGAAGCCAGAATTGTTCTACTTGAAGCTGGAAGAGCAGTGCTGGCAGTGCTGGCTAGAACACAGATCTAGAAGTCATAAGTTCCACTGTAGGCTGAACCCCAACAGCAGAAATTCACCCAAGTCTCAGTTCTCTTCTATGTAACATGGGGATAAGAGTTTTCCTGGAATTTTCCCAGAGGAGACAATGCAAACAGGAGCCTCTATTTAACAGTAGGTAGGAACATTAGGCATTACTAAATTGGCTTTGGTGACCTTCTCTCCTTTCCTCCGCCCAAACACTCCACATGTCCACACGGCAGTCAAGTCTCACATCTTCATCAGTGTTGACCTTAACTCTGCACTTGTCCTGACACTGGACAACAGGCAGTAGGCTTGCACCTGGTGCCCTGTTCCCAGTTGAGGGAGGCACTAATGCTTGGTGACATGTCCTATGGACCTGGCAGTGCACATGCAAATTTACCTCGGTTTATACCACTTTGCTTTGCAATCTCTGATCACCCCAAAACCAAACTTTTGAGCCTAAGTATTAGAGATTTATGCCCCATTTTGCAGATGGGGAACTAGCTCATGGATAGGTGTGGACTTGTCTTCCTTGTGCCAACTACTTCTATTTATACGTGAGCAAAATGGAAAAAGAAATCCATAAAGGGATTTGGATATCTAATACAGTACTCTAGTACTCTATTAGAGCATATTTTGGGGCTGGTAAATGGCCTGACACTTCAATCATTTGACAGTGCTCCAGCTGAATATCTATTTTCTTTTCTTTTCTTTTTTTGTACCAGGGATCCAGCTCGGTATCTATAAAGCATAATATGGAAATTCTGCCCTAATAATACAGCATGGAAAATTTGTACAGCCTTTCCTTTACAGGTCTCTTAGGGGCTCATCTCAGGCTTTCAGATCACTAAAACTATTTATTATCAACTTTCAGCTTTGGCAAAATGGACTCAGTAAATTGCAGCTTCGATGAACTCTGCACAGAGAGAAGAACAGGGTGACGAATTGCCTGAGCAGTCACACATGGCAATAAGTCATGGCTCTTGACACTGAGTCCCGGCAATTGGGCAGAGAAGATGTGGCATCCAAGGATGAAGAGAACACAAGAGAAAGGGTTTGGAGTTTCATCACTTCTTAGGTCAAGGTATGTCTTTAAATAATGAAAGTAGATTCTTTAGGCTTTGTGAACCATATGGTCAACAGACACACAAGCATGGCTGTATACTAGTAAAACTTTATTTACAGAAACACGTGGAGGGCAGGTTAGGCCCCAAAGCCATGGTTTGTGCATCTACAGTCTGGAAGGACTACGTGGAGATTCTGGGCTGAGTGACACTGTTCATTTCATGGAGACCAATCTGTTTCTGTCTCAGTGCTGGAACAACTCAGGGTGTAGTTCTTGATTCTGTTCTGTTCTTTATATAGCAAATCCATAGCTTTAAAGGCCAATTTCATTCTGACAGCTTCCAAATTTGTATGCCCAACTTTGACCTCCCTGCTGATTTCCACTCATCTGCCCACAGCCCAGTTGGATGTCTTGCAGTTTGATGGAGTAAGAGCTGAACTCCCGATCCCTTGTCCCAATCTACTCCACTCAACCTGTCCTTTAGCTATTCAGGCTCCAGACCTTCGGCTCACCCTCAACTCCTCTTTCTTTTACACTTACACAGAACAAATCAGGGAACAGCATTGTCTCTTATCTTCAAAATATAGCTAATCTATAGTAAACATTCTGTCACTTCTCATGACCTGTTGCTTAGTTTATTAAAATAAAGGGTCACATGGTATAACAGTGAGAACCCTGGACTCCAAAATAGCTTCTTGACTGAACTTCCTGCTTCCAAACTTACCTTATAGTCCATTCCCAATACAGCACATTTAGTCAGTGCTGGGCCCCAAGCCATCCAATGGCTCCCAACACAGATCTATATAATTGAGTTACCAGATGCTTTACTGGCCTCAATTTCTTTTGCTCTGCTTCTCACTTATTCTGACCCAGGCACACTGGGCTCCTTAGTATTCACTGAATGGTCAGACCTGTTCTGACTCCAGAGCAGGATGGTTTTGCATGGATGGTTCTTTCTGCCTGTCATGCCCTTCTCTGAAACACCTACATGACCTCTTCCTGAATCTCTCATACATTTTTAGGCTAATGTCATTATCCTGATTAGAGAGATCTATTCTAAGTATTCTTTAAAACTAGACTCTCTATTCCCTTTCTACTTCATGTTTCCATTGTATGTACCCATCTTGACATACTATCGTCTTATCTATCCTGTATATTGTTGGCTTCTCCTATGGAGATACGATCACCAGAAGGGTGACGACTGTGTTTGTTCTTTTCACCGTTGGATGATCAACACATACTTGGTACTTGGTATGTGACAGGCACTCAAAAAATACTTTTCAAGTGTTTGAACACAGGCCATTGTATAGTTGTCCTACTGTATTGGCTATGAGAAAGCTTTCAGGGACTCACATGGCTGGTCTTTAGAGCTGGTGCAGATTGGCTGTAGGAGTAACGAACTTATTTTTGGCTCTCTTTGTGTTTATTTCTTTCTCATTTTGACTGTTAAGACTGACAGTGTCAACCTGATTGACTTGAGGTCTGGTCAGGAGATTGGTGGAGCACACTTCTCAGTGTGTCTAGAGTTGTAATTTTGGGATCATGTCTGGTCCCTCACCCTTTCTCTCTGCCACTGTTTACCTGCTCTGATTCCCAACCACCATGAATTAAGCAGCTTTGCTCCGCCATGCCCATCTGCCATGTTTCTGCTATGGAGACAGAATCATGGACAGAATCCTTTGAAACCATGAGCCAAATTAAACCTATCCTCCTTTAAGCTGTGGGTATTGGATAGTGGGTCCTAGTGACAAGGCTGACAAATATGCTCATCTCCTTCAACTATACTTTCTGAGACAAAATGAGGCTTAACAAACACATTCCTGGGGTCACCTTTTACCACTCTCATATTAACAGAACCACAACGTGTTAAATTCTGTCTTTTTAAATAAGAGCAATCCTTTTCTTGAGTGGATATTATGTCCTGTGCTAAGTACTTTTCACACACTAACACGATTTTGTTGAATCCTGCTAGCAATCCATTGTTGGGGACACTTTTATCATGCTTATATTTGGAAATGAGAAGAGCAGGCTTAGAACTTGCCTACAAAAACACATTTGTAAATGTCAGCACAATTGAAATCTGACCCTGCTGGCCTGTTAGTTCTCTTGGTCCAGGGCTGAACACATGCAAGTTCCCTGCTTCACTGATGTCTGTGGCTGAGTCTCCCCTTCCCCCAGTTCAGTGTCAAATGGCCTATTTGCAGATTCTGCAAGCTTTTTATATCCATTAACTTGGACTAATTGTGTAGATGGGCTTATCTTCCCTGTTAATTCACACCTAGTAGGAAATAAAAAATATCTCCTCTTTGAAATAATAAAATAAGAACTAAGAACTGAAACAGAGCTTCTCTTTCAACTCACCGAATATATATTCCCCAGTGAATTTTTCATATGGAATTTCCATTTTTCAGCTTTTTAATGAACAGTATTAACTACACGAATCTCTGGGTTTTACTGTGACATTTCTGCCCACGTGCACTGGTTATGTTCACCTTCCCTTCCTTCTTGTCTTTCCCTAAAACCCAGACCTCTTCCAAGTCTCTAATGTCCCTCTTTTGCATTCAGGTTTTTAGTAGTTTCTGCATATGAGAGAACACATGGAGAGAATACTTGTCTTTCTGTGTCTGGTTTATTTCACTCAACATGATTAACTCTAGTTCCACCCATTTTCCTGTAAATCAGCTATATTTTTCTTCTTAGAATATATAAGCATTTTGGTTGCTTTTAACTTTTTTCTCAATATGGGGGTTTCTCAATATGGCAGAGAGAAAGGATGAGGGACCAGGGCCTTCAAATGGAGCTGAATCCCCAGCCCTGCTTTGATGTTTGATTTTGAAATAGGGTCTCATTAAGTCACTAAGTTGCCCATGCTGTACTTGAATTTGGCAATTCTTCTGCCTCAGCCTCTCACAATGCTGTGATTAGAGGTGTGTGACATCACACAAGGATGTGGAGCTGTTCTTATGAAGGTCAGATGTGTGGCTGATGGGGTCTGCCTTGGGTAGTGTGAGGGGCATAGGCAGCTGTGTGAGAGCACAGTGACTTGTGGGTGGAGAGGCTGGACATAGGTGGTCAGATCCCTGTCTGCAGTGACAGGCTTGCACTGGATGGTGTCAAAGGTGCTTTCAGCTCTAGAATGCCTCTATGCTTGGAAGAGGTGTCTCCTATGAGCTTGGGACACCCCTCCCACCCCGTGCTTTCTGTACTCTGCCTGAGCCATAGGTGAATAACCCTCTGCCTCTCCAGGGGCCAAGCACCTCTGGGTCTCTCTGCGCCCAGCACCTTAGGCAGGGCCTGGCATGGAGGGGTTGCTCAGTACATGTGTGTTGAATGAATGAATGACAAAGGGCATACAATCTACCTTTCCCCTCAGGTGACTTGGGTTTATTATATGAGCCTCACTGGCAGCAGTTAAGACTTTACCAGGCCCCACAATGAGTTTCTATCTAGTAGATCATGCAATAGACAAAACAGATCACTGGAGAGTAGATTACTCTTAACAGACAAAAAACATGTCCACTCTTGCTTGCTGTTTTCAGAGGCTGGGAAACAATCAAGCTGGTCCCTGGCCTGCCACTTAATTGTTATAGCATCTCACACCTTTGTGCTGTCACTGCAGCTATCAGCACTGAGAACTGCAGTGTGGCCAGGGTCCTCTCGAGGATCATGGCCAAGCAATGATGCCACAGCTACAGCCCTCCAGGAGACTCCCTTTCTTGGCACCACTTCTCCTTACATAGTAAAATTCAAAGATAAGAGCTCCTTATAATAAAGGGAAAGGAAACTTCGCAATGTGACAGGCAGTGCCTTGGAAGCGGAAGACAGAAAGACAGAGTCACAGCAAAGTACGGCTGATGCTGTTCTCTGGAACAAAGTCATGGTCAAACATTAACTGAGAACCGTGGCTGCAGCTGAAGTGATATTAATTTAGAATCACTCGGCCTCCACTGAAGTGGTTCTTCAACCATCTCTTTAGTTTTTAAGAGTAGTTGCCAAAAGTGTAATAAAATGTCCTCATGCTTGCAAATGGGTTGAAATTGGAGGCAGTGAAAGCCAGCCTTTCAGGGATGTGGCCCTGAAATGTGGTACCAGGTGAGAAACTGCATTTCCATGAAGCCGGTACTTATCCTAAGTGTCTTCCTCTTGGAAGCCCTGGCTGCTCCCTTCTCCTGGGTGTGGACCAGCTTTGCTTCTCTCAGGGCTGGCTGGGTGAGTGAAAGCCCCTGGCTCACACACTCTGCAGGCTGCAGCTCTGCTCTGAGGTTTCTAATGCTGCTTCTGAAGAAGTAAAAACAAGCAGGTGGTAGATGTCACCACCGGGCTACTGTCCTTGTACACCTGTGCCTCTTCTCAGCTTTGCTGTGCCTCACATGTGGCAAAGAGGCTTTAATGGGGTGGATGGGGCAGCATCCAGGGTCAGCAGATTTGAGCTCAAGTCCAGGCTCCTGCTCTTGTTGCAAGGCCTTCACTTCTCCCTATGGCATCCTGCCTTGGTATACGAGCAAGCCTCACCTATCTCACCAAGATGTGACGGAATGAAGGTGTACTGAGAGTTCTCTGTAAATCGCCACCCCTCAACAGTACCAAATATCTGAGGACACAACAGAAAGCAGGGGGAAACAGTGAGAAATAACCAGAAAGAGAGGGCAAGGGCAGTTTAAAGATGGGCTTCAGAACCTATGTCAGTTTTTCTTGGAAAAAAGGATCAAATGAAGATGCGTCCAGTCCTCTGAGGGCAGAACAAGAACAAAGGTCAAGCCCCTTTCCTATTTCACCTTTGTTCCACACTTCCTTCTTTGTAAAGAAAGGGAAACAAAACTCACTGAGCTATTAGAAAAGAATAGGAAAGATGGAGAAGGCAGGATAAGGACAGATGAAGCAAGAAAAATAATTCTCATCTTTGAGGTTCAGAACATTTGATGGAGACACACTAAAGTCTGAACAGGTTGCAAGTGACATTTTATGCAACATACTGTAAAAAAAGGGAACCCCCAGGAGCCTGCAGTTTACAGTTACAAGGCAGATAGGAGAGCCAGGCCTGGTGGCCTACATCTGTAATCCCAACATTCTGGGAGGCTGAGGGAGGAGGATTGAAAGTTTCAGTCCAGCCTGGGCAACTTAGCCTCAGGGGGTGGGGGAGGCCCTCCGTTCAATCTCCAGTACTGAAAAAAAAAGAGGTTGATGATTGACTGTGACATCGACTACAATCTGCTGGGCAGGGGACCTGCCCATTCCCTCAAGCTCACTGCACTCAAATCAAGCTGCTCTGGGGTCTTATTGCTTTAATGACCAGTAGGCTTCGCTCCAGCAGGGTCAGAGACTCTTACTACTCCAAGGGCACTGAGGTAAAACACAATTTTACAGGCAAAAGTTGTGGTCCCACGTGTTGGGAAAGGACCACTCTGCCAGCACAGGACAGCCTCTTTCCCACCCAGCCCTCCCTCAAGGAGCTGCTCAGACTTCTTCCATAGGGACCCCACTGGCTGGTACATGTGCTCATTCCAGAAACAGTGGGTCAGAGTCTTTGAGGAGCAGTGGCCCAATTCGACCTGGGTGAGTGGCCCGTGCCTATAATCCCAGCAATCTGGGAGGCTGAGGCAGGAGGGTTGTAAATTCTAGCCCAGGCTAGGCAACTTAGTGAACTGGTCAGACCCTGTCTCAAAATTAAAAAAAAAAAAAATAAACAGAACTGTTTTTAAAGGGTTGAGCATGTAGTGCAGTGAGAAGGCCCTGGGTTCAACTCTGCAGTACCACTTTCTAAAAAAAAGAAGGGAGCGACTTACAAAATCGGGCGAGACTGGAAATCTTCCTGATTCATCCTCTCAGACTGGCGGATTTTCAGGATCTCAGTGTAGCTCAGGTTCTGTAGTTTGCTCTTGAACTGGTCCAGGGAGCTAGGCTTGGTTGTCAGCGCCCTCATAACCTGCTCCCTCACCACCTGGATGACCTATGGGTGGAAGCAGGACTGTCATTCTCTTGCAACCGAGCTCTCCCATCAGAAAAGTCTCCACCGCATTGACAGATTCCTGCCTCCCCAGTCCCTATTGCACGTCCTCTCAGCCCAAACCCTGAGTGCACTTTTCCAAAGAGCAGATTTCCATTATGTACATTTTCTCCTTCTTCCTACTGTTGGAGCCACAAGGATGGAAATGGACTAAGTTAGAATGGAGGGGAGGGAAGCTCAGGGTGGAGGAGTGCTCCATTTACTGTGTGATTGCTGCTGAAACCACACTGTAAACAATGCAAACTCCAGAGTCAGAAATGCACAAAGGCCAAGCCATAGCTAGAAGCCTGCATATTAATTATTTCTTCCAGGAGAAAATCGCAGAGATACAATTAACTGGGGAAGTTTGTTGGCACCAGTTCAAGTGAAAGTGTGCAGATACCAACATCTCCCAGACCTCTTTCCCCATGTGTTCATGCAAATTATGTATTTAGAAATGTGCATGTGGTCTTGCCTCTTTAAGTCAGGCATTAAAGAAAGGTTTATTAAGTTGGAACAGACAGATCCCATTGGAAACCTCAAGGAAAAAGAATATGGTAATTTTTTGCCTCAGGACAGGTCTAGCTCATGAGCAGGCAATTAACCACTGCTTCTATTAATGTGGATTCATCTTCATCACAATACAAGAGGAAAAAAGGACCAGAGAACACATAGAGCCATCCAAGGGATTTGTGATCTTCTTGCTGCTCTTTGCAACCTCCACTATAGATGAGAACAATAGCCATTACCCTTTACGTCTGAAAGTTATGGTATGTCAGATATATATGTATTTTTTCTTTCATTTTCCAATTATATCTGTAATAAGGTACCAGCACCTGCACTATATATATATGAAGAAACTAAGTCTGTAAAATGTTAAAACATTAGTTCAAAATCAAATAGTTGGTAGGCGGCTGAGCTGGGATTTGAGCTCAGGATTGTAAACATTCTGCTATACAAGGTATGATCAAAATATGCAGTGAATGTTTAAATTATAACAAAATTTATTACAGTAAATGAAACATCATCATTAAACTCCCTCAAACTACTCTTCCCTTCTTCTACCACACATTTTCCAAAGTTCTTTCTGAAGCAGTTCTGGAAGGCCTTTTTTGTTTCTATGAAGTATGATAAAAATTATGGTGAATGCTGTTGTCAAGTACCGTCCAATGGAAAGGCAGGCTTGAAAAAACATAAAGTATATCCTCCTTCACTTTATTCACTGGGTCTGGCACTGTGAGACTTCAGGCTCCACCAAAGCCAAAACAAACATGAATGGTAAAGGTTTTTAATTAATTCAGAACATCTAAGAAAACAAGACAGCACAACTAAAGACACTCATGAAAGATCATTTCCAGAACTGCTTCATAAAATGTCACAAATGATGGGATAAGGACTCTTCTGAGGGGAATTAATAGCAATGTGTCCTTTATTGTAATAAAATTTTAAAATTTAAACAGTCACCCTAGTTTTTCATCCTACCTTCATCCGTAACTAGTTGAGTCCAAAGAGAACAAGTAGTCCAGTATGATGACTACCCCACAGATCTGGTGTTGAACAAGTATAAAGTATGGTGTTTGGCTTCTGTGAATGATTGATCTAATGAGAGATTTGTATGTGGCTAAAGATCATCAGAATGGAAGTGTGGAAATATCATAACAAAAACCAAAGGACTAAGTTGGCTGGCAGTGAGAAATTTCATTGAAGAAGACGTTTGACAAGGGTTTTAGACAAAGAATGGGTGTTCAATGATGTGACAACAACTGAATAATTGAACACCCTCACAGTGGAGGAACCTGGACTTACATCTAAATTGGAACTGATTACAGAAGCATTGTTTCATGCCCCAGCATCATGGCATAAAGGAAAACTTCCAGTTGATTTCTCACTGGATCTGCTCTTTATTTTTCTCAACTCAAGGAAGATGATAAATCTGAGATGCCTGGCAAACTTTCAAATTGTGACATAATGGTGGGCAGACTTGGTCAAGGCTGAACTATAATGCTTTGCGCTCATATGAGGGGCAACACAGGGGTTGGCCTTTTCCCCATTCAGAAAACCTCAGAGTTGAGGCAAGTTTGTTGGTCATTGAAATCTTCCAATGCTATTTGGCTTCAAGTGGAAAATAGGCAAGGTAAAAAAGACAAACACCCTGCCCCTTTAGCCCAGTGCAGCAGAAGAGCCCAGCTGCAAAAGACAGAGAGAGAGAGAGAGAGAGAGAGAGAGAGAGAGAGAGAGAGAGAAAGAGGGCCTCTTTGAGGCTCCTAGATGAAAATTGAAGCCCAATGGAAAAGTGAAGAAAATCTCGGCAATAAAGACACACCACACCACCATAGTTGGTAAATTGGAGGGACCAGCACCTCACATTGGAACCTGGTCTAACCTCAGGGGAAAGACAGCTGGAACCTTCAGCAGAACCCTGCAGAGTTCAACCCAGCAGGAGGTCAGAGATCTCAACTTAGGCCTTGCAGCCAGAAATCTGCCTGAACCTCAGGGGACAGCTACTGGCTTGCTGAGACTAATTAACTTAGATCTGCACACTCCTGCCCACCCTGTCTATTGTGTCAACAGAGGCATACCTTGAAGGAGGCCCTCTATTTCAATTTCTATTTTTTATTTTTTTATTTTTTTGGTACTGGGGATTGAACTTGGGTCCTTGCACTTACAAGGCAGGCCACCGAATCGCTGAGCTAAATCCCTGGCTGTATTTTTTATTTTTAAAGTAATATTTTCTCTTATTTTTAAATATTTAAAAATTTTTATCTATCATTTTCTTTTCTTTTCTCAAATTGTTTTTTTATCTTCTTTTTTATCTTCTTTTCTCTCTCCCACCTTGATCTTCATTTCTCTCCTTTTTTGTTCATGTCCCTATACTAATTCAAATTTCTTTCCTTTCTTCGTCTTTTATTCTTTTTTTCCTTCTCTCAATTGCCATTAGTTTTAAAAGAAAGTGATTACAGTCACTAGCCTCCCTTTTGCTGTTAGTTTGTTCTGTTCTTGTGTATATTTTGTTCTGTCTTCTCCTCTTCTCTTCAACAGATTCCTTGACTTTCTGTGATGTTCCTGTGTCCTCTGATCTCACTTCTAACCTTTCTCTATCCTATCTATTTATCTCTCCCTTCCCAAACTGAAGGGAGTCAAGTTGCTATATTGAAGAGGTTATTCACTATAAACATATTTTGGGCTGATCCTAGATTTTGATTTCATTCACATAGTTAAAGGTGACAGATTAATAACTGCCACAAATTGTCCTTTTCTAAATTTTGCTTGATGTTATTGTGTTGCTGATTTTATCACTTTGGGCTAAGGTGTTGTGATTGATCTAATCAACTGTCCTTCATGGTATAAAGAAAATGAGATTGTCTCAGAGTCATCAGAGACTCAAAGCCTAAAGACTAGCTATATCTGGAAGATCAAAGTATCAATCCAGGAATTAAACCAAGGACAGTACCAACAACAAAAATAGAAATGATAAGACATTTAAACAAGGCACAAACTCAGACTTTCACCTCACCAAAGGTAAATTCTGGGGGAAAAAGAGGTGGAAAAATCTGACAGTCAACCACATGGACACCCTGAACCGAAAGCATAGGAAGTGACAAAACAGATAAATAAGGCTTTAGAAAAATTCAAAGCAGAAATTATTTCTCAGATAACCACAGAGATGGTGAGAAGAATAAAAGACATGATTTAAAAAACAGATGAGCTCAGGATCATGATGGAAATCATGAATGCCCAGCATAGGAAAGAAATGCAAACCTTGAATGCCAAACATAGAAAAGAAATGGAATCAATGAAGCAGATTCAGATGTCCAAGAGATTAAAAACTCTATTGAGAGCATTCACAGCAGAATGAATGAATGTGAAGATGGAATTTCAGATATGGAAGATAGGATTACAGTCAGTGACCATGAAAAGAGGGATCTCTTGAAAACAGTAAGGGATCATGAGAAATCAACCAACAACTCTTAGATGATGCAAAGAAGAATAATATAAGACAGATAGGAATCCATGAAGTATCAGGAGAAAATACAAATGCCATAAAAAAACTGCTCACAGAATTAATGACAGAAAACTTCCCAAACAGAGCAAAATAAGTTGACATGCAGATAAGTGAGGTATACAGGACTCCAAATAGCCATGATAAAAAAAATCTACACCCAGAAATATAATAATCAAGATGCCAGAAACCCAACAGAAGAAGAAAATACTACAAGCAGTTAGAGAAAAGAAACCAATCAAATGTAAAGAAAGCCCATCAGAATCAGGGAAGACTTTTCAACACAAACCTTTAAGTCATGGAGAGCCTGGAGTGAGGTATTTCAAGTCCTAAAAGAAAACAATTTACAACCTAGACTAATGTATCCTGCAAAACTATCTTTCACAACTGATGGGGAAATAAGATACTTCCATGAAAAAGAACACCTGAGAAATTTCATGAACACCAAACCAGCACTCCAAAGACTTTTAAACAATATCCTGGAAAAGGTAATGAATGCCACAACTCCATAAGGGCCAACAGAGCAAATATACCAGGCAAGGCAAGAAATTAAAGGGAGAGAGGGAAAAATGAAAAATAAAAGAACCCAAAACAAGAAAATAACATGACAATGAAAAGTCAATATATAACAGTTTTAGCCATCAATGTTAATGCCCTCAATTCACCAAAGAGAAGAAACAGGCTGGCTCAATGGATTAAGAAGCAAAATCCAATAATATGCTGTATACAACAAACCCACTTAATCCACAAAGAAATGCATATACTGAGAGTAAAAGGAAGGAAAACAGTTCTCCATGTTACAAGAACCCAGAAAAAAGTGGGGGTATCTATCTTATTTGCAGATAGAGTGATTTCAAACCAAAACTAATTAAGAGAGACAAAGAAGGTCACTACATCCTTATAAAGGGAACAATCCAAGAAGAAGAAATGACAATCATAAATATATATGCACTGAATACTAATG